TTCATGTAGTGGCTGAAGATACGCATATGAAAGATGCAAGTTACCATTACCTAAGAAATGAATGCACTCAAGAATAGTTTTCTTCCTCTGTTTTCAGTACTTTGTATCAGGTTTAACATCACATACATATATTGTTAGAATACTGTAACAGGAATGTTGATAATCATTTACACATATAATGAATAACAAGAAAAAGTAACTGAATACCATATTTACCAAGAAATCTCCCCCGACTGGAAAAATACCATCATTTTCATAAACGGAGAACCAAAGTGTCGACTGACAGTGGGAATTTTTACCGACAATTTCTACTGAATATCCAAATAATTATCGCTCTAAATCCTGAACAAAACTCTTATCTTCTAGCGACTTTAGTGTTGTTACACTTTAACTGACTATGATTGATCCTAGTAAAAATTAGTTTTTGTTCATAGAGCATCTCTCACATAATACCAACTTTCGGAAGTACGTTCGAGATTAAATTCAATTTATCGAATGAATTAAGAGCCGCAAGTTCTCAAACGTAATACAAGTAGTCCTTCTATACATTTTCCATACCTTATGCCAAAAGCATATGAGACCGCAATCAGAGGACTGGCGTGTGTTCAATCGCAATTTATTTTACAGTATATCAACAGTTTTTAAAATAAAGAAATCGTTTCGGGGAATAGGCACACATCAGTTCGGCAAAAAGCCAAGAGTGTATTGAACCAGAATTTAAATCGGTCACTGATAGAATCAAGGATACAAATTACGATCAATACCGATAAGGTTTGACACAAATCTGAGAGATCTAAAAGTAACTTGTGATAACTTTAGTAGTGACATTTAAATCTAGTAATCATGTTCATAATTAATATCTGTTGCTTAGTTGTATGGACTGACAGTATTAAGTAACTGATTGACACCTAAATTACCTTTAGTGTTCAAAAAGTACTGCCTACATAGCTCTTTTTCTGCACTATTGACTACGGCTCGTTATTGAGGGATATTATAATATCCTTTGAAGCCACTCTACACCACAAGGGACTATTGGCTTGGATTGCTTCTCAATAACGCTACTGAATTTGTATTTCCTTTCATGTTGTTGGTACGAACTGTCTAGATGGATATCTAATGATTGAGCGATCTCCCAAGTAGTATTAATTACATAACTGTTTTTACCACATTTTCCATTTAACATACCACTCTGTTTTGAGTGTTATACTTTTGCCGTTTGTTTATTTGGATACTGCTACTTCAGTTTGTCGTATTAATATTCGTTTTGATATATTTTTATTTGCTTTGCGAATTTTTAAATCTTGATTAAGCTTTCGCGCGGGTTCACTACAATGTCAATATATTCATTATTAGAAACGCTAAAAATTAACCCCAACATCAAAAAGATGGTTCACCAGGTAAAATCATATACAGTTGTCGTGAAACGTCCATAACTAGCGTATGGTCTGCATACAGATGCACCTAAAGTTGTAACCAAACTATGGAATTACGGAAAGAGAACACAGAACGAAGCGCGATTCGAAGTGACTTACAGAGATGCCGGAAATGACACATTCCTCCACAAGTACTCAGCTCTTCTGAATCGAGGAGTTTAACTTTTAATGTGCTATAACTCGAGCCGTGTGCATAGGATTTATTAGTATTTATAATTTACCCCGACGAGCTTTCAAGAATCATGAAATCTCCAACGTCATATCATGCTTATCTCGATGTCCAGTTAACATGAGCAATAACATTGTTCACAGGTATTAAGGCGGCTTCTAGTTTCTCAATACAAATAAGACTGACTACAAAATCAGACAAATATCGTTGCGATGATGATAATAGTGGTCAATAACTTTTTTAAAATAAAGTGGTCAACGTAAAAGCAGGTACAAAAGGGGTACTACTAAAAAAGTGAAATAACACTCGGTTTCCTTCTTTACACAAATGGAACTTTAATTTACTTTAAACGATTATCTACACTATATCCCCTTAGTGTCTATTTTACAGAAATCCAACGCAACTCAGATCAAGAATACGTGACTGGCCTGACTAGAAAGTAAGTATATTTCACACCAACAATCACAATAGTTATAAGGGTAGGAAAATATATGAAACATCTAATACCTGTTAGATTATCTACTAGTCTGACTAGGCAAGCAAGCAGTAATTATTTTCCTATCCCACACATCAAAAAGGTAGGTAAAGACTGAACCATAAAATTATTTTCCACCGTGTCCAAATATTCTAATCAGTCAAAAGGTGTGTTACATAAAAGAAACCACTGCTGAGATTCAGAGAGAATGGATTTTTTTAAGCTGATTTTATTATCTTCAATTAAATCTTGAGGTGGTTTACAGTGAAGGCTGTAATGAAAATTTTTATCTAGCAGAAGAAATAGTAATTTTGCCGAAAAGAAAAAAAATCCAGTTGCTTATAAGTTACGTAAGAAAAGACTCAAATATGTATCGACCTGAGTTAACGAACCTTATTTCAGTACAGAGATGAAATCAATCAAATGAGATGCAAAAACTTAAAAGTAATAAAGGTGTCAACAGTAATAAGAAAAAACATACTTAAATAATGTTTGGAGATAAAGGACTAAAATATTATGAAATATTAGGACATATTATTTAAAGCGAGATAAGAAATGAAATCAACCAAGTTATTTCACTGATGTCTTTAAACAATAACTAGACTAATTGTTGGAACCCTAACCACCCAGTCAATAACAACGTAGAACTTCGTACATACGTACATCACTTCGAGTTGCCGTACCACATTAGAATAAAGATGCAGTTGTCGATTTAAATCCTGTAGTGGTAGTACAAGTATAAGCAGTCATTGGAAACATTAGGGTTTGAAGATGTTATTGAAGAAGTATAATCCAATAAAATAAATTTGGAAAGAGAAAAAAAGGAGACATAAAAAATTTAGATTAGAACTTGAGAGAACACATAGTGGATGCACCTGCGCCATTGCAAACGATTTGGAGCCATGTCATTCAAGGTCTCTAACCATCGGTTGCTATCATCTAGCGGATCCCAAACAGGTTGTCCACACCTACCAACACGGCTTAGTCTACTTGTCAGTAACTTCATGGATTTGTGCCATGTTTTGGTCTGGCTTCCCCTAGTTTTTTTCCAACCTACTCCTACAACACGGAACGTCGCACGTCGGTGGTTAGGCATATGTAACAAGTGTCCCAGCCATCTCAAATGATGAATTTTCACTACTTCATTAATTGATTGGCCATCCCTACCTAGCACCCGTTTCCTAACAACTGAGTTACTTACTCGGTGGTCCCAGGATATACGAGCAATACTTCGAAGACACCTATCATTGAATACGAGTAACCCACGAATATCCTCTACTCTTACTGACCATGTTTCACTGCCAACGGAACGAACTGCTGCACAGTAAAGTTGTCTTTTGGTTGGTAGACGGATATCTCTCCTACGCCATAAATGACACAAGTTGGCAAAAGCTAGTCGAGCCTTCTGTATCTGCGCCGAGACTTTGTCACACACCAGACCACAAGGGCTGGTGAGACTCCCAAGATAAGTGAAGCGGTCGACACGCTTAACTACTTCACTCCCTATCATTAGTTCAGGTGTCGATGCAACCCATCTTGAAGCAACATTTTGAATTTCGAGGGGGAGAATCGCATCACGAACATGACTGCATTGTTGCTTAGAGTGGTCAGCAGACTCTGTATTTTGTCAGCGTCTTCACCAAATGGAACTATGTCGTCGACATATTCTTAGTCAACATGCGAATCTCCCGGTAAAAGTTCAACTCCTAAAAAGTGTTATCTCTAAAAGGACGTCAACGACAAATTTAAACAAGAATGGAGAGAGTGGACAACCCTTACGAAAACCATTTGAGGTTATCAGTTCTGGTGACAGTGCACCATAAACTCTCACTCGACCTGTTGTGTTCGGGTAGGAAGTCTTTATAATGTTAATGTACTTCTTTGGTACTCTTTACAGTGACAAACACTGCCACGATCAACAGAGTCAAACGCCACCTTAAGGTCGAGAAATACTATCGTGACCTTAACTACTATGTTTGTACCTATCAACATAATTCACACCAAGAACTCATGACTTTTTTGAATCACACAACATCTTGATTCAACTATTCCCTTGATTTCTCACATCCTATTTCCTGCTACACAATTTTTAGGCTTCAAAGTGTGTGATTAGACATGTGTAACATATAGAAAGATGATCCCAATTTATAATTATTTAATTTTATTAACCAATTTGTTATTTTTACTTAGTATCATTCATTTAATTCCAGTACTACCCACTTTTTTTCTTCTTCAAAATATATGGTTGTAATCTATAGATTATTACTTTATGTCATTCCATCAGGTTTTGATGATGTCTGTCCATCCTGTGTGATCAGATTGTTCGAAATTTATTGCGCGAATATATATATATATATATATATATATATATATATATATCACATAATTGTGATAAACTTCGTCTTTTCATTACATTATCGAAATTTATCAAAAAGGGACTAATTGTTTTAAATTCCATCAGATACCAGAAGAGAGTAGAAAAACAAAATCACTTAATCATTAAGGGATCAATATTTATATGATTATATTAAATCTTAATGAATAATACATGTACAATAATGATCAATGATTAATGTTTTCCAGATTTATCATAATAATTCACTGCTTCAAAGATAACTTCAACAAAAATTAAGATAATCACCATCCATTCCAAACGTACTGAATGTATGGAACATAAATGATTTGTTAGAATTGATGTTAGTTCATTACACATATCCAAACGTGAATTTAAAACCTATATTGAGAATATATATATATATATATATATATATATTTGTTTAAAAAGATACATTACAAAATAAGAAGCATTTTAAATGAAACTACATTAAGTCGTAGGATATTTAAAATTTAAAAAAACAACTGACATTATTCATTGAAACATGAACAGTAAAGCTAAACTACACTGTCGAATGAATTTGAGAAACCGGTTAGAAAGAAGTAAATGTAAATCAATAAATTATACAATAAAAAATTAAGAAATTTACCAACAATATTTTATTTTGACACGATTATTAAGGTATATTAAATTGGCTATAGATTCTTAACGACTAGATTTTAGCAGTGGAATCCAGGACGTGAGTTTCATCCTATGTAAGACTCATTAGCTGGATTTACCTGCATCCTAGAGTTGATGTTAACTTCGGGACTTAAATCCAGTATTGTTAACTTCAACCAACATCACGTTATCCACATAACTACTGGATTCAGATATCGATTGATTAGAATGAAACGAGTGTTCTGAATTCTACTGCTAGTTGTTATTCATCTCCGCTAATAATACTTGTGCTTAAATGGCGATATTGAAACAATCCTCATGTAGTAATAATTAAATTACAACGACAAGAAACGTTAGACATACAATTCGAATCCATTATTAATTATTATCAGCTAACTTTATAATCAAACCAACTTCTTACATGAATAATAAGTTATCCCCATATACAAACATTCAACTTTCCACTATGCTAACTGGAATTATTATAGATTTAGCATAATCCAAATATCTATGGAAAATACACTTGACATTATTACATCTGAAGCATCATAGTTACTTTAAATTTTACTCTAATCACTTAGTGTGACTATAATTTATAGACGAACCAATCAGATTTAGGGTAACATGTCTTGGATTTTGGCGCAAAATCCATTCATCCATTTAGTTGAATAGCGTTTTAACATTTTAGCCGATATCAGTCTGTGATGAAAATCCTAAATCTAGTTCTTAACCATAACTATTAACTAAAAATCATAATCTTAATTCCTCACACTAGCTTATAATCCTTATTTAGCTCTAGTTAGTAGATGGAAATTCTCCAAGTCATTATAGTGTCACTTAAAGGTCGTCCATAAATTATAATCTCACATTTAATTGAAGTAACTAAATTAATTGGAAAACATATATATATATATTAAACATACCTTTATTCTTGATGAAACACTTAGTACATATTTTAATTTTTCAAATAATTTCTCAACATTTGGTCTTTCCCAATAGAAATCAGGTGTTTCAATTAAACTAGTACTAACATTCAACAAATGTCTATAAATTAGGAGAAAATACAAAAGAAAGATATTTAACAGATCATTTGACTTTAAAGATGATAAATCTTCGAATTAAACGCTTGAATCAATTTTTCAAGCGCTTCTAGTAACCTCAGGTGAAATCTACACGACAACTTGAACATAGGAGAAAAGAGTGTGAAATATAGACAGAACGCTTTACTCCAAGGTTAGTTTATGTACAGAAAATCGAGGGTATTTATAACATTTCAGATGGTCATGGGCTTCTGGAAATTTCTGAAACCCTTGTAAACATAGTAGCAAGATAAGCGATTGTCCAATCAGAGATGTGACACGTGGATTTTCACTTTCTAGATGTCTCTAGTAAACTTCTATTGAATGCTGGTTAGATAAGATGAATCCCAGTGTATTCAGGGACCCTTTAGGTTTTTTTTCGAGAAATGTTCTGGGTATTCCCAACAAAAGAAACTATCAGATCTGATAAAATGTAAATAACAAAATGGTCCTAATAACCTTGTTGTAATTTTTGATACGTCTTTTATATATGGTAAGATGACCCATTTGTTGGTTCCTATACCTGATTTCTTTTTTACTGATGAGTTGGGTTGATAGACGTTGTTTTGAAGGATAGTCATTAGAACGGTTCTTCATTTTTTCAGCGCTGCAAGTGTGCTGCAGTGCATTCTCATCCGCCTGAATAAAGTTCGTATACAGTTGATTTTGTGAGTCATTGGGTTGTTGTTACTGTAAATGATTTGTGCTGGTCGACTTCCGATATATCTCCAGTTTTCCTGTATCGTTTCTGGTAATTGCACCTAAAGCATCCACCTGAGTTACAAATCTTTACCATCGCAAGATATTATTACTTATGCATCTTACCCCTCGTGGAAGAGCATAGGCCACCCACCAGCATATCTCAAGATATAGAATGATGTTATATATAATAATGAATAACAACTTTTAAAATATCATATATATATATATATATAATGATATTGCTGAGGTCGCGTTACCTTAACTGGGTAATTTAATCGTTAAGATTTCACTGTCTCTCTAGACAACATCATAAGAATATTTATGGAGATAATAAAAGCTTCACAGTTAAACCATTTAGCTTGGACAATACAACTGTTTACCATAAGTTTTGCAAGCGATATAAGTGTTTTGAATTGTACAGTGTATTTTCTTAATATTATGGATTATAACAAATATATTCTTGTTATTTCCCAATGAGTAGAAAAATTATATTTCTGACGTTTCGTAACTTAATGTAAGCCACTTTTTCAGAGTGAATAAATAACCGAAATGGAACCAACATAAGTTTAAATAGTACTCAAAACGTACGAGAAGACAAACATTAAATGGAAATGAGCCATTGCGATCGATTCTGAGCAATGTCACATGGCTTTTTTAACCATCGGTTAAGATAATCACAAGGACTCCAACCAAACAATGTGCATCTATCAACATGGCTTAGACCAACAGTCAACGACTTCAGAGACTGACGTCACGTTCTGGTTTGGCTGGGTCTAACTTTCATTCGACGTACTTATATCCATGAGGATTCACAACCCCGTCCATGGATTTCCCACCTTTGCTTAGTATCCTATCCCTAACCTAAACACTTATCACCCGGTGATCCCAAAATACACGAACAATGCTCCAAAGATACCTATGATCGAATACTGCAAACCTACAAATTTCCTTTATTCTTAATGACCAGTTTTCACGGACATTAATTAGAACAGCGAGAGCTTCTGGAAGTCCATTAGTTGGAAGACGGACATCGCCTATCTCATAAATGATGGGAGTTGATAAAAACTAACTGAGCTTTCTGAATAGGTGCCAAGATTTTGTAACAAACTGGTTCATCAGGGTTGATTATTTTAGACGCTAGAGTTTCCAACACTTAGTTGTTCAGTTAAGATATTCTACATTCTTGTCAGAAAGTACTGATTCGTTAAATATCTAACATGAATATGGTAATATGAGTTAAATTATTTCACATTATATGATGAAACCCAAAAGGTTTTAAAATAATAACTGGTACTTATTGAGAAAATATCTTTGCTATAACTTGATGTTTGACTGGACATTATGAATATAATTTTTGAAGCTTAGTTGGAAAAACAATATTCATTTATAGGATGCAGGTGGTACATATACGCAGGATATTTATGTGTTCAGTCCATAGAAAGCGATGTTGATAAAGCATCCTAGGTTGATTTAAAAAACTATCACACTTGAATAGTAAACCTCTGGAGAATATCATATCATACAACTACCGCATTGATGCTTTAAATCATAAGAAGCAAGGGAGGGAATGATTCAACCTACTTAATTGTGTACAATTCACCAGTTTTTCGTAAAACTGCAGATTGACGGAATCTAGCACCACGACCTGTCTTCATCCTCTACAAAAAAGACGATAAACACAAAAAGTTATAATTACCGCTTTAATGATTTAAACTGATCATTGTCAAGTTACTGTGCATGACTAATCCCTGGAAAAATTTACTACAGCAAATATTGATTGCGAAATGGAGAGAATAATAACTGAAAATTAAGTCTTAATCCTAATAGTCTTCGAATGATCTACGAAACCCGTAACTTCTAATAAATTATCTTTCAAGATGACTTTAAATCATGTTTATTCTTGTGTTTAAACATTATTCTACTGATTGATACGTTCGGTACTTGAATGTAGAACTTTCCTACATTTGTGCTTCGAAGGGAAGTACAAAACGGAGCTTTGCTTCTAATGTTAGGTTAATTACAGAAAACAAGGATATTCATAGGCCTACGTGTGGCCTTGAGATTCTGGAGGATTCAACAAGGATATGACACACAATCTATCAGTTTTCTAGAAATTTCTTAGGAGCTTGCTTCCATTAGATGATGAGTAGACAAAAACCTTTTGCTTTTTTCTCAGCTTCTAAAGACTTTATCAAGGAATTCTTAAAGACTCATAATATTGATTAATTACGCTATCTTTTGATACTAATATTATTTGGATCTATCGTATGAGCAACATTAAATCGACAACATTAAATCATTATTGTACATCATGGATTAGACGTCAGTTGATTTATTTGTCTTGGCAACTCAAAAACATGGGTGTCATTACAAAAATATTTTCGATAATAATTTTTTCTAATATTTCAACTGAATAGAAAGACAAATTTTTTTTCTATCGTTTCTTAATTTTATATAATTTACATTTTTAGAGAATAAAACAACTTTTACAGGTTCATGTTAATAGTGAAGAGAGAATTTCAAGTGTTAACTGACTGAATGGTTATATGCGATTACAAAATATCAACAGAAATTTGATATGGAGAGCTAGTCAAAAGTAGCTCATTGAGAAGGTCAATTGATGATAATCAGAAGTGACCTAAAGGACAAATGCATTTCATTGGATGAGAAATGGATCAATTTCCTGAGAATAATGTGGTTGTATATATATATATATATATATATATATATATATATATATATATATATATATATATATATATATATATATATATATATATATATATATGAATGGATATTTGTGCATGTTATTCGATATTCCAATGCACTTTTTCGCTTACTCTTGTGTTCCCGTTCAAGTAGTCAGTTGAGGGTTAGGGCGTAGCAATACGTGTATCAGTATCAGATTTTGGACACCACCCATCACAACAAAATTCACTTTTACATTAATTAAAAATATTCACAAATATAACCATACTTTGATTTAAAAAACAAACAGACAATATAATGATCAAGCTACGTTCATTATTAACGGTTACTAAACAAGTATATAACATTCATTTCAGTGAAATTATTGAAATCATTGGTTTGATCGATATTCACTGATAAATATAAACTATCAAATTGATAGCTACCTACCTACTTACATAATACTCATTGAATGATAATATGACACAAAATCGATTGGATTGGCATAACTATACATTGATTCTCTACATTATTCTGTAAATATTATGATTGAATGTTTTATGAATAAGTTTCTATTACTTTACTCAAAATTTCTTTTTTCTTTTTTTGACTAAATTAGATCGTTACTACTTTTATTATAAATTTATCACTTTATTTTACTTCATTCTGTTCATTACATTTTTTTTGTTTTAAGATAAGATACATCAGTTTAATTTAACTTTGATAATCACTAACAAAATGATTACTGAGATATTACTTTCACCTTCGAAAAAGAAATGTATGACAAACAGAAATAGTTGTGATTTCCTCTTTTTATATTTATCTAAGAAACCAAATTTATTATTGACAAAAATTTGAAATAAGAGACAAAATTCATGCAGTTCACTCTAGTCACATGAATGTGGTTACAGTTATTTACTTAAACAACTTGACAAGCGTTAAGTATCTATAGTTTTTTTTAAATAGTTGAGATCATAAGTCAATTGAAGTCAGACCACCATGGAAAACCTGGAAGCACTGGACAGCTTAGTGGTCTGGAAGTTAAGCATTCGCTGGCGAGATCGATAGATTCTGGGTTCGAATCTTGTGAAGCGGGATCGTGGATATGCACTTCTGAGGAGTCCAACAATAGGACGAAATGGTCGTCTAGTGCTTCCAGATTTTCTATGGTGGTCTAGCTTCAATTGACTCATGATCTCAACTATTAAAATTACTATGATATCCACAAAAAACCATTTCTGATACCTATAGTTTTGTTGAAATTTTTTTTAATACTATTTTGATATTTAAGTGATAATCTCCATAAAAATTTCCCTTAACAAAATTACAATAGTATTTTGATTAGCGATTTATTTCGAGACAAGTTTTTGTAATTTTTGTGAAGTTCTAACTGACAGAGTTTAGATAAGTCGGGAAAAAAAGTTGTTACCAAAGTCATTAAATAATCCCGAGTTGGTTGAAGCTAGAAAGATGCACAATTAAACGCTAACCTAGTGGTTTAATAGTTAGGCGTTCATCACGAAACTTGGACACATTATGTTCACTCCTTGAAGATGTTATAAGTGCACACTACACGTAGGCCATTCCAAATAAAGAAGAAATAGCTAAGGATCTATATCCTTGGTTATCATTGATACCTCAACTAAGGTCGATCTATAATCAATTCAATCTACAGACTGAATACTTAGTTATTTTCACTGATAAATTGAATGCAAATTAATAAAACAATCAAGAATTCGAATCGAGTAAAAAGATAACTGAATAAATCAAAATAAGAAGCATGAAAAAAAGAAGAAAGTACTAACAATCAACTAGTCACTTACTTCAATCCATGGTTCAATTTCAACAACTGCTGTATCGAATCCATTCTCTAATAGAGAAAGTTTCACTAAACACATTATGATGTACAAGTAAAAAGAAATGTGAAAACCATAAAAATTAATTAAATGTGTAAAGAAAAAAATCACTATTCTATAATTAAATACAATTTTTAAAAATATACTATGAATCATTGTCTATTATAAATGAACCAGTGACTTAATCCTCTATATAAACAAACAATGAAGATCAACACGGTAATTATAACTCATATGAAAATATAATATATACTTGAATAGTTAAACTGTTGGTTGAAGAACACATGAAACTCAAAATAACTGTCAACCAATATCAAAGTGAGAATCTTCAATAGGAATGTCGAGACAGTCCTTTTGTACTGAAGTGAAACTTGGAGAACTACTACAACCATCATCAAAAAGTTACAAGTATTTATAAACAATTGTCTACACAAGATACTGAATGTACTTTGGTCGGATATCATCATCAACACCCTACTGTGGGAGAGGACAAAACAACTTCCAACTGAAGAGGAAATTAGGAAAAAACGATGGGAGTGGATAAGACATAAATTGAAGAAATCATCAAACCATATCACAAGGCAAGCCCTACCTTGGAATCCAGAAGGGAAACGGAAAAGAGGAAGATCCAAGAATACATTGCGTCGAGAATTGAAAGCAGACATCAAAAGGATGAGTAACAAAAGGAAAGAATTGCCCAGGATAGAGTTTGATGGAGAATGCTGGTGGCAGACTATTCTCCTCCACGAGAGGTAACAGGCGTAAGTAAATAAGTAAGTGAATCGAATCTAAACACTATGGTTTATAATCAATAGATTTGTTGGGGACGATAGATCCCCCAAAACTCATAGTTTGTAATTTTATCGTGTGGAGCTTGTATGCAGATGTATACGTGGACATTTCTTACCACCCACGCACATAGTCGATTGACGAATTTATCGATTAAATGTTTAAATATTTCAATGGCAGTCAATTGACGAACTATCGATTAGATGTTTAAAAGCTCCATGGCAATATCGATATATATATATATATATATATATATATATATATATATATATATATATTTTGTATATATACGTTTTAAATTGTCTTTGTAGAAATCGCTAGTTTCTGGTTGTTGCAGAATATACTTCCATTCTAAGCTTGGTCTTCTCTCTCTAGATAGCGGGGCTGGGACGCGTCATTAGCTAGCTCACTGGACCTTGGTCACCGAATTCTCGATCTCGTTCTCAAACTACGTGAACCCGTGATAGCTCTCTCTTTTCAACCCTAACAAGATTACAGCTTTATATATGTATCATCATTATCTACTGAGATATGGGAAGGTAGATAGTACCATTATTGTCTAATGAGCAAATTTCAATGTGAAGTACATATGTGAAATTATAAGGTGGCTATAAAATAACATTTTATTTAGAAAGCGAGTGACTTACAAAAACTAGTAAGTAACACTATTGCGATGAAAACAAACAAACCAAAAAAAGAAATGTCATCAAATCACTGATTCTTGATTTAAATTATAAAAGGAATAGCTAATTAGAAACTCTTAAAGTCAAGATAAATGTCAGAGTAGTAGAAGAATAACAAAAGTACCAGTAATAGTGGAAAATAATAGTCAAAGACAATATGAATAAAGTTGGAACATGTCATATTCATTTGATTAGCGAAGAAAGTACAAATTTGAGGAACTAAAAAAAGCATAAGATAATTTAAAAACTCAAGATCTAATGGAGGACAACAAGTGAATGAATCTGTTTCATTAATATTCATTCTAGACAATATCATTCAACGTCTCCAACCAGTTAGTTACGATAACTATATGAACCTCAATCAGGTAACTTCAATTGTTGACGATTTATAAACAATGAATTTCAACTTATTTTAAGTGAAAACAACTTGATAGTCTACAACATTTTAAACTTCGGTAAATCTCTGATATAATGCAATTAGCATTCAATGTCATTAGTGTGATACTTATTCAATTTATAACACTGAGATTTCAACACATAATGTTTAACAGTGCAGCCGGTAATGCATAAAACCTCGGTAAATTATAGGATAAAATAATTTCTTTTATAAAAATAACAACACTGAGTTTTATTCATGCAATAACTGTTAAGATCATGAACTGATTAATGTCAGGTGTGAGGCAGTTACCTACGGAATACAATGGAAGATGGCCGCGCAATATCGTGGATTGGTTGAAATTAGACATTAACACCATTGGATGCTGGCTCAACGGTGTGGAGGTTAACATTTCACGCGCGAGACCAAAAGGTCCTACGTTTAAGCCCCGATTGTGAAATCGTGGGTGCGCACTGCTGAGTAATTCCATACTAGGACGAAACGGCCGTCCAGTGCTTCCAGGTTTCCAATGGTGGTCTAACATTGATCAGCTCATGATGTCAAATGAAGGAAATATTTTTTAAAATAAAATCTAAAAAAGGAGAAAAGGCTTACCTGACAAGGCTAAAGCATCAGAAAATGCAAATTTTTCCAACAGTGAATTATCGTCAGTCAAAGAAGTTGATGCCACCTTTGAATATCGGTCTTGTAATGTTAGATCCTAATAAATTAAAAATTAATACCATACAAACAACATATTTTATACCTCACTTTGTGCGATTGTTGTTCTGTGTGACGTGACACATCGTCGAATGATGGAATATGTAAGTAAATGTCTTCACCGACGACACGGGTATGATCACTATGATAAAAAAACGAATGATATCGATCAAATGAAAATGCTTAATTTAAATAAACTAATTCGATTATAGAATGAATACAATCTATTGTCTAGTTGAGTTATTAGAACGAGCTTTCGACCCTCGACAAGCTCAAATAGATAGAGGAATTAAAGATTGGGTGGGAATTCGCGTTATCAACTATCGAATAAATATGCTCAAAGCTAATGTGTATTTATAACTAAACAAACTGATCACATAACAGATAAGTAGATAGCGACATTTTCCAGCTGAATAGTTCATGTAGTTCAATATCAACCACCTACATATACATCTTACATTTCATACAGCCATTATACCCCATGTAGTTTGTTTATTGGCTTTGTAGAGAGCTTATAGAAGGAACGGTTTCGAGAACAAGCTGGAATATATAACCAACTCATTATTTATATATCACATTACCTTCACCGGAGTTAGACAAGTCAGTCGATTGTGATCCCTTCTATATTGAAGAGTCATCTCGTGAAATCTTGACTCGATCCAAAGAGCATCTAAGATACACAAAGAAACCGCCTAATAATTCTGTAGAACTGAAAAGACTCCAAATCAAATCGGCAACAGCAGTCCATGCCATTTTCAATAACTATCAAGTTGATGTTAAAAATATAAAAATAATACAAAAAGGCTTTCCCAACTACAAAGAAAGGCAAGTAGCTGAAGCTTTTCATATATTGCTAAATCCAACTGCCCCCAATAGAGAAAAAAGCTCTACCATCCATCAAACTTGGCTCACCATGTCTGATTCTATTCAGATATCACACACTATTATCATACATACAAATTCAACTCTATTCTGTCATATTACAAATGTCACATAAATCTACTTGACTACAGCGACATAACATTGACCTGTTTTATTTTTCATTGATCGTATTCAATATTTTTGCATTGTTCCTTTGTACTATTTAAAGTGGGGTTAATTTAGTTTGTTTATTTATTCTTTGAAATGACTTAAATTAAGTCAAGAATTGTCAAAAAATTTAATTTTTCTACTCATTAGGATATTACAAATAGATTATTTTTATTAATAACAATTTACCCAATGCTCAATTTATTTGAAATTATCAAGTTAAACTTTAGTAATGATACCTATTGTCCAAAGATGTTTTTATTGTTAATGTTAAGGTCTCCAATTGATCAGTCTCTTTTTATATATGTGCATCTGTAAACGATTAACTCTATAATTCTATTTCGTCATAAGTTTTCAAAACGAAAGGGATTGGATCAAGAGTCGCAGTGTGAAAATCAGCACTGGGATAAAGGTATATTCATCTAACCAATCATCAAATAAGATGACAAGAGAGTTTTAGATTCCACCGCTAGTCACTATCCAACTTTAATTAGAAATCATGATTAAATAACAATATCAACCTAATCTGTTCATGATGCACAAATGACAAGAGAAATTGATCAACTACAATCTTCAACATTGACAAGAAAATTACAAACCTTTACAAATTGTCTGAATGTATTTTCAGAAGGGGTTTTATGGAGATTTTAGAAATTTCACCAGTTGAAATCATGAGTCATTTAAAGCTAAACCACCATGGAAAACTTGGAAGCACTGGACGGCCGTTTCGTCCCACAGTGGGACTCCTCAACAGTGCGCATCCACGATCCCACCTTCCGCGAGATTCGAACCCAGGACCTATAAGTCTCGCGCACGAGCGCTTAACCATTAAACCACTGAGCCATCATCCAACGGTGTTAATGTCTAACTTAAACCAATCCACAAAATCGCTCCACGATCCACCATTGCTTTCGGTGAGCTGATATCTCACAATAGACCAAGTTGAACTCCATTGGTCACGACTTCTCACTAGAACTCCAAGATATGCCTCTTGGACTCAGTCACATTTAGTTGTTAAAATTACCAATCAAAGTTGAACAATTAATTTAAGTACATATCAAATGGAGAGTGAGTTAAAAGAAAAAAAAACAATATGCTCACTTGGTAAAACAATATCTTAAATCTTCACGTTCAATTAGATTCTCTTCTAAAATTCCTTCACTGAATTGACAAAATTCTTTTAACAATGACTGATGCTAAATATTTAGTAAAGTATGAATATATATATATAAGATACCGATATATATTCTTCAGTTAAATAGTAACAAAATCTATGATAGTATTAGGCATGAATTTCAGAAAAATATACCAAGGTCACCTGAATTATGGCATGAGATTATAATTTAAACTATATATATTAAGTGAAAGAATATCGAATCGGTAAATTTGAGTTTATTAAATATTGTTTAATTCGTAATGTTATTGGTATCTTATCGATAAAGTTTACTTTTTAACAGTCATCCAGTTAGCTACATAATACAACGTTATAATATACTTTGCATGATATATGATAATTGGAGAAAATTGTTAGAAAATTAATCAATGTACAGTTTGTACATACTTAGTACTTATTGGAACATCCTGCCAATTAGTTAGCAATTACTTAACATATGAGAGATAAGAGTTAGTTTTTTTTTTAAATTACGAATCTGTTATAGAGGAGATTTTCTGTGTTTTAATTAGACGAAATTACGACTGTTAAAATCGATGAATAGAATGCTAATCGATAGATGAACGCAATGATATGATGTGTGGCCAAGTGATGGTCACACACGAGACTGTATAATTCACTTGGGCCCCCGGAATGATTAAAAATCAAAAACAAGACAACTAGCCAGATGAATATTTCTTTATGTAATAAAAAGGATATGCTTATTGAAAAAATAAACATGATAAAATGTTATAATCAATAGAAGGGAATTAATCTGTAGGTCACTCATTCTCCAACTGCTAAAATTAATCTTTGGATATTGTATCACAATTGTATTGTCATAAAAATGCAAATCAATGGTAATGACAGGTATAGGTTTGTATTGTCAAAAAATATAGTTCAATAAACATGTAAGCGTTAGACATAACTAACTCTACAAAATGAATTCTAAAATGGATTTTATATCCACGAAACACCCTATGTTTAAAAAAATGGCATTTATAAACAAGCAATTTGATGATAATTCAAAAATTAAGGATAGGAGACAGTTATACACCTCAAACAATGGATGAAGAGTTGAGTAAGATCATGGATCGATTAAAGTTAGACATTAAAACTGTTGGATGCCCGCTTAGTGGTCTAGAGGTTAAGTGTTCACGTGCGGTTTTCTGTTCGGCCCTTTTACCGGAAACACTAAGAGTAACTCTGAATATACAATCCATATGACATAATTGGGCATAAACTAAACAGGATATCTACGGAAATTATCAGATTCTGCTATTTAAATATATGTAATATTATATACAGTGATCTGTTGGAGCGTGTGAACTGTAACTAACGTGTTGCTATACCTACAATTATACCAATTAAAGTATTAAAAAACTTCAAATTTGGAAAGAAATTCAGATTTTCTGTATATACAGATAAGTGTTTTCAAGCTATTCAATAAGGATATATCTCAAACTAATTGACTATAGGTCATCAACAGGCGTAAATACAATTTTTATTTCAATTTGATATCACCATACGAGTAATCAATAAAAACAAAGAACTAACTGGATAATTACTTGATACTACTAGTATTCAGTGACTAATGTGAAATATTTAATCAGTGACCGGATTAACAACAGAATTATTATTTGAAGTGTACAGTACAAAATTATAACAAATATGATCTTTTAATAGTTGAAATCATGATTCAATTGAAGCTAGACCACTATAGAAAACCTGGAAGTACTGGACGGCCGTTTCGTCCTAGTATGAGACTCCTCAGAAGTGTGCATCACTGAAGACAATGGTGTACGGTAGCGCGATTTCGTGGACTGGTTTAAGTTAGACATTAACACCGTTGGATGATGACTCAGTGGTCTAGTTAGTTAAGCGCCTGGCGCGAGACTGATAGGTCCTGGGTTCGAACCCCGCGGGGGGCGGAGCGTGGATGCACACTGCTGAGTCCCATACTAGGACGAAACGGCCGTCCAGTGCCTACAGGTTTTCCATGGTGGTCTAGCTTCAATTGATTTATGATTTCGACTATTGAAATTACCAATTCTCTACAAAACCCATTCTAGTAAAGCTATTAGTCATTAATTCAATGTTGAATGATTATTCGCCAATTGAGTGTCAGTATTTAATTATTAATTCCTTTGATTATGAATTTTAGATAAACAGAAAGAAAATGTGCAGCAAATAGTGAATGAATGAGTCTTCTAACAAAGAAGAGAAGAAATCTTGAAAGGAAATGTGTGGCTAGAAAAAAACTCCGATAAACTTACATTTTCTTCAGGCATATTCCAAAAAACAGCCACTCCATTACTGAAAGTATAAAAAAAATGGAAGGTATAACAGCTGAATATATTTTTTGTTCAACTGAAAAAAGAAAGATACAGTTGACAATTCATATGGTAAACTGTGTTACATTATCTTGACATTGAGGCTAGGAAAAATGTTTTGATCGAAAAAAAAGAAAATACGTGGTAACTATTGTTGAATCAATGTTTGTTCAAAACTCAATCACACTAGTTATTATCAGTATTTTCGAGAGAAACAAACTACTCTTACTGTGGTTTAAATTTCCCTCAATACTACTGTTCAAATACTATCATATCAAATCTCAATTATGGTAAATGAAACAGTCTTAAACGCTGCTATAACTCGCTCTGATGAAGTACAAATGCAGCTGCGAACTATTTAAATGTAAACAGCCCAGAATCCCTAGTCACACAAAATTGGTTCAATAAGAAATGAAAAGAAAATACACCTACCTAATGAAATATTAGTGTGAAGAAATATAGGAGAATAATAGTTATGATGTTTGTATGTAGTAATGATTCATAAACAAAGACACGTACATAAACACACTTACTTGAAAATAAATGCATCCCATGGATTATTATTTTCCGTATTTATTTTAGACAACTGAGAGACTAGCAATACTTCCGATGATAGTTCCGATGGTAATGTAGGGAATTTATACAGATTATCAAATTTGGAAAGATAGGAGTGTAGCATTTTCAAATTAGTGTACTGTGCAAAACCATAACCTGAGATATCGTAAAATCCAGATTGTTTTAAGTTAACTATTTCCTGTATATACAAGAGAGTACGGTAATTTAAAACAAACAAAATAAGGGGAAACGATTAGATAAGAGTATAGTGTCAATTAGCAGTATATTAGACGATTGGAAGTAGCAGGAAACTCTGGATCAATGCTTCGTGTTAGCCAGCACTCTTCAGTAAGGTATATTTGCAATCTATAAGAACCTGATTTTCCTTGGTGAATTCGAAACCGCGTTACACGGTCCCACAGTCTGTGACGTTACGATTGTGCTATTCGGGTCCAGACTGACCCATTGTACGACTGAAAGATTTACAACTAATCGATCAGTGAGTAACGACTAGTGTCATGTTTGTTCAGCCCTTCTATGCTACTTGTCACTAGTCAGCAATGCTTGGAAAAAACTTATATCCATGTGGCCTGAACTTATATCACTTAGTGCTCTTCTTCAATACGCTATTACTAAGGTATACGAACATTACAATATAGTGAACGTAATATTGAACCACTTAGATTACTGGAACTTGGTTGATAAAACCAGATCAGTACTAAAGATTGGAAAAATACAACCCTGGCCACTGCAATGATTATTCGTGTGATAAGCAATATATAATGATTAAGTTATATGAATACACTAAGATGCAAAAATCAAACTTTGATACGATTATAGAATTTTATCCCTAAGTGATAATTTAATTAACTAAACTGACAGCAAAACACTCGTAAATCTTGTACACAAGTTTACGATGATCATTTTTAGACTGAGCAACAGAATTTCTCTACTGTAACATAGAAATTGGCGAATTTGAAAACAAACAAAAGAAATTTTTAAAGTTAACTCACAATTGTAATTACTAACTAGTCAAAATTTTAATACAGGCGAGTCCTTCTGTGATTTAGTCAGAGAGCCATCAGTTTTAGTAACTAGTGTTTTGTCACTGAATCACTGGATCTAAATAAAATTTGTGCTGTATTCAAACTTTGTTTGTATGTTTGGTGTGCACACAAACCTATATAAACATACGACAATCTTTGATGAGGTTCAACATTGACCTTGCTGTGAACAATAAGTATTAACAAAGTCTCCATTTTTTAATATCGTTATCAAAACAAAATGGTTTTGATGAGAACACTGCAAACTATACATTAAGCGATCTGTAATTTTAATGAAATTTGTGTTACAAGATGAAGAATTGTTACAAATAATTCTAAAATAAAACCTGAGAGTTGAAAGCCCTTTACACAATTAAGATACATAATGGTAACAAACAATAAAACTCCACCATAAAAACGTGGTTAAATCTCATATTCAAAAAAACTTGCCAAATAGATTGACGAAATATTAATGTTTTTCTTTTAAAGAAAATTTTCCTACGCATATGTAGAACATAGAAAAGCACATCATGTATTTTAATCAGTTACTTTCAAGGACATGATAAAAAAAACCCTGGTCTTCATTTAGATTACTGATCAAAGCTAAAATTTTATATCCAATATAGTCGTCAATTTTAGTGGTTACAATAAACGTCCTATGAATCACTAATATAACTGAAATAAATAAGTTTCATTTTAGTCAGTTCATAATATTCATTAAAACAAGTATACATATATATTACACTCACTTTATCTACACGTTTCTTCTTGGGATGAAAAAGTCCCAAACTTAAATTGGTTTGATGATCTCTCGGTTTTACTGATGTCGATGATGGTGATGATATTGGTTGAAATAAATTAGCAGTAAATGATAAATTTCTATAAATTAAGCGACTACTATTATAAGTTTTAATAGTAGTACTATTCATTCTGATATTAATAGAAATTGAATAATACTGAACAAATCCAATAGGTATTATTATTGATGAATTATTTGTAACAAAAGTTTTCATTATATTGGAAACTTTATAAGTGAAGAACAATTTATTCCATTTAATCATGGGAATGCTGATTAAGTGAATATGTTTAATGAATTAATTTTCTAAAATAAATGAAAAACTTGGTAAATAAATATGGTGATAGAATAATTTAATATATATGAATTTTATTTTTAAATAAATCAGAAGAAAATTGTAATTAGTCAACTTTGAACTTAGGTAATCATGATAAAGATTACATATTTACTCATAATAACTCGTTGCTTATTTCAATTAAGTGCACTAATTAGTTAAACTTAAAAGTTATACCTAACCATGAAGTATCCAGCGTCAGGATTAAATCATTAGTTAGTCTGGAGGCACCTGAAAAGGAAATTGGATTACAGGTGGTCTCAGTGATCTGAGAGCGTGACCACAGTGCCCAAAGGACAAATTCTTGAAATCGGTCACACACGACCATTTTATGAGTAATTTTTGTGTTAGCTCCGCACTTATTGAAACCTTACCGCCAGAGACGATATCCGTGGAATAAGGCGAGGTGTATTTTTAGGGTCAACCATTTCTAACCCCACCCTTCCTTGTAGGAAGGCAGCATCGCTGCCATGCTGGCTGTCTGAAGGAAACATCTTACTGCTGTCACACCTCTGTACAGTCAGCAGTACGACTTCGCCCTCGGACTCAGAGTTTGCTGCTTTTAGTCTTACCGCTCTTCAACCGACATGTCTGGTATGGTTTTAAACTTGAAGAACGGTTGTTCCAGCCAGTATAGCTCGACTGGTTCATTACGATAGGCAAGCCCGACCACCACGTCAGGGTAGCAACAACGGTCGGGTAACTAAATTATAAGAAAAACTGTAAGCTTTTGTAGATCGAATTTACGAGATGATCAATATATAATTAGTGAGATGAGTATATAGTAAAAGATCTATCTTAACTAGTATTATAAAAAGTAAAGTATGAAGATATTAAGTAGATTTTGACTAATTTACTTATCAGATATCAATTGTAACCAACGTAGTTACTGAATTAGTTTAAGTTGTTACATCATATATCAGCACAAAGAGATCAAGTTATGTCATGGAATACGATGGATAACTTTAGATGTCTTATTCAAGTCAGCTTGACATCTTTCGCCAGTCAAATGATAGATAATAAAACTCTTAAACGCCCCTAACAATCATTTACTCAATCAAGTCAGACAGAACCCAGTGATATGATGTTGCCCCATGTTCTTCATCAAAATTAAATGTAATTAATGGATGAATGTTATTTACAAGGTTAAATAAAGTAACTTTTTCATCTTGATCTTTCAATACTATGAAGATATCACTTCGAATGCGACAGTTAATTGTTGACTGATTATTCTTTAGTTTTGTAAGACAAGTCTCTGCCAAAAAAAGACCCAGTGGTGATTTCGTGGCTACACCATCAGATTGTTCGTCTTATTCATTGTTGAATGGGAAATGGAGATTTATCATATCACTAAACACCATCTGGCTTGGTTAAGTAAAGAATAGTTAAGGGTAATTAAGAGTTCTATTCCCAGTCACTCAGTTGACATGAGACACCAAGTTAACTGAAATAAAGTTTTCAAAGTTAACCAACATATTGCATCAAATCTTACCGCGTGATCTAACGGCCCGTCTTTTGCACACTGTACAACTATAAGAATCCACATTTAGAAACCTAACCTTTGTACTTAAAGGAAGCTTGTAGAATCCTTACCTAGGCAGACATATAGCATACAAAAGTGGATTATAACAGAACACTGATTCATCACGCTCATTCAAAACTATCTAATTTTCTTTCAGTTTGTGGTTCTATATAGTTCATAAATTTTACTGTTTGTTCTAACGCTAATATCATAAAATTTACTTTTGATCGAAATACCTTGTTAACTCTTTTACCATATATCCAATCTAGCAACAACTGATCAACATGTTTTCAATTTTTTCTTGGAAATCATTACTTTCATTACTATAATGCTAATACTTGGTTATGATATATATAATTAGTTTAGTTAGAATGTAAAACCATTAGTGCTTTTTAATAAATGTCTGAATGAGGATGATTCTGCTTGATCAATCTATTGATTAGAATTAATGCGTGACTCGGATTTACATACACTTTAGTCATTATCTTTTTCACATTAACACAAATTTGTCAAGCAGTTACTTATACAGAGATTGATTTTTTCAAGGATTAATATAGCCTTAAGGATTAACTAATTAACTTCTTTCTATCAACTGGGCTAAAAGGTGTAACTACTGATAAATCAACTTCATCTTCACTAGTTAGTAATAAACTTAACATTATTGTTGCGAATTAACACTGGAACTAACAAAGTATAATTTTGTAGAATGATGTTAGGGTATTCAACTTTTAATTCCCAGGTTTAATATCCGAATCCTACCCTACCTACTTTGACTAGGGATTGATAAACATTCATTGACGAAAAGGATGGATTAAAATCAAATACACTAACTTGTATATCGATAATAAATTACATTAGGTGTAATTCTCAGTGTTATAAATTCATTAATACCCTAGAAACAGACAGATGACAGATTTGAACCCTAAAATACCGTGTTTTTATTCTTTTTGCTTTAATATAATCACCAATACTGATTTGGTCATGAAACATCAAAAAGGTGTGTAATTCAAAATAAGAATCTAAAAACATTAAATATAGCTTTCTCTATTATTCAAATTACTTTTGAACAACGTATATATGTATATCTAGAAATGATATATCAGTTGAATATATCAACTTTCAAACATAAATTATTGGAACCTTGGATCTATGATTAAATTAATAGTACACTAAGAGCGAAAAAAAACCCCCAAGCAATTCAAATGATGAGAAAAATGATGCAAATAAAACAAACCGTAGAAGATCCAATCACAAACATAACACATATGGCTAAGAAATAGGGAAAAGGCAAAAAACAGATCATTTTCAGGAAACATTCTTATTTTTTCTTCCTTTTTTTAAAAACAAACGTAAGTCCTCTCACATGATGCCTCAATCCAAAAAAACAAATATTATGATGTTACACATTGTAAGAAAACAAGGTTGTAAAATAACCTAATGTTTAGGAACCGTTAGATTTCCGGTTGTTTGCCAGAGTTTAAAATTTCCTCTAATTCATTCAACGTCCAATAGACATGCTTTAGAAAGTCGTCATTTTCATTATTATTAGTATTAATTTGCACAAGACGAATTCCTGGTTGATCATTACCTAATTGGACACAAACAGATGATGAACTGATCATTGAAAATGATTTATCAGTACTGTTGTTATTGGTGTGATCATTATTTTCATCAATTATTAATGGGGTATAATATGCTATATTGTTTTTATGTAAATGACCAGCAAATGCATAATAAATTTTATGCTGATAAAGTTTACTGACAAAGTCTTTGCGATAAATTATTGGTATATTGAAATAATTATCTGGTTCATTTATATCTTCTAAGAAAAATGGAATATGCTAAAAAAGAAAAAAATGGGGGGAAGAAGAACAACAACGACAATAAAAGTTGAACAACAAAAATTATAAATTAGACTGACTAAATTATTGATACTATTACTATTGGATGTGACAAATTGATTGATTTACTCAATTAATTCAAAAAAATGAAAGGCTACCATATACCAAGATATTTTATAGATTTGATGACCAGACAAAAGTTATGTAGAAAGAGATGTAGCAGTGATAGGTTAGTGGTGTACGAAACAATCTAAATCAACTATAAGAATGACGTAGGTGAATATAAATCACTTTAAAAAATCATTTACTAAGTACAAGGTTGTATGATGAGCTGCAGCCCACACTTTCTATGTAAGAGCTAGTGAAAATACCTAATGCGCTAAACTGTGTTAGATAAGGATGAATTCGAACCGATGACCTACAGATTGGGAGTCTATTGTCTTGGTCAGTAAGTCATGACACTAATCACTATGCCTCTAAAATAGTTGTACAACTGAGACATAAAAGATAAATAGGGAGATTTACACAAAAATAGTTTATTTGAATTGTCTAGGTTTTACGCTTTTACAACAATGATTTATTCATCCATAGACAGTATGAACTTGCTAAAACTCATAATATTGCAGTAGGAAGGAATGTTCACAAGATAAAAACCAAAAGAATGACACCAATAATAACAATATCAACGGTAGTGAGGATAGTGAATTTGGGAATTATAAGTAATATGCATTATGTGTATATGAACAGTTAACAAATCGTTCAATGGTACTATTATAACAGCTTGGATTCAAAGTGATTACTATTAACTAGTTTAATGGACATCCGATTTCTCAGTGCTAACTTGATTTTTAGTATTAGACAGTTAACTTGCTGTTTACGATTAACAATGTTAGACATGTATGCCTCGTCTCACTAATCAGATATGACAACTTGGGCCAACACACACATCTGTCCCAGACTCTACTTTGATTATGTCTATCTGTTCTGATAAAAATAAAATAACTTTAGCCAACGAAGTGACAGGAGTAACAAGAGACTAATTTTATTTAGTTCAAAGATTCGGTTTGTTAGGTAAATGGGGATAAAATGCTAATTTTAGAAATCATGAGTATTAAACCTAATTTTAAGGGGAATTTTCATCAAGTTCACTAATTCTAAGCCACAATTATGACAATAAAAATGATCTCTGTATCATGTAATTTAAATCTTTTTCAGTGACAAACGAGATTTTATGGTAGTTCAACATAACTGGAGAAAGGTACAAATCAGTAAAATATCAAACTCGTGGATTTAACATATCAATTGAGAAACAAAAAAGAAACTAGTACTCGTTGGGGCAATACAATCCAATATATAGGTAAACGAGAAATCAAGGGATTATTATTTACTAGGAAATGAATGAAACTATCTCTAAAACTTGTTTTCAACCACATAATTTAATGTTGACTTAGTGGTTAAGGTCTCCGACTGTCAATCACTAAGTTCCTGGTTCGAAACCTGCTTTGCTTACTTCGGTTTTGGCAGCCGGATAGTACCATTAGTCCTTACACTTAATGTAGCTCACACCCAAGTGCCTAGTGAATGATTTAACTTTTTTCTTCAATCATCAATTTGTCCTAATTAGATTACAAATGAAAGCCTACAAATATGAACACAAATTAGAGCACTTCTAAGTGACGTTAGGAACTGTTCACACATTCTTATTCGGTGTTTTATCGAGAGTATTGGGCCATTTATCTGTTAAAACACATCATGACAACGGATGGGGCTGCGAAATTGAATTGTGCTTTATCTATCTCCGTTTCAAAACATGTGGCTCGAAGGTAAGTCAGTCAGCTACAACGTAGGACCAGGCATATATATGCATAGGTTCAAGTTGCCACATCTCACTAGCACAAGATGAACGAATTCATAGAAGTTACTTTAATGGTAGTAATATATAAAAAAAGACTGCATATAAGGATATGATACAGAGAGAAAGAATTAGTTCGTAGAAAGGTATGATGTAATTTCACAGTTTAAGGGAAGACAGAGTGTATAAATCTACGCCATTGTGATCGATTCTGAACCATGTCATCCAGAGTCTCCAAATATTGGTTACGATAGTCACGCAGACCCCAACCAAATAGTCTGCATCTACTAATCTGAGTCAGAACAGAAGTTAGTGACTTCAAGCACTGATGCCACGTTTTGGTTTGGCCGCCCCTAACTTTTTTTTCCATCCGTCTCCAACACTAGTCAACATTGTGCGTTGAGGTAAGCAATGTTCAGGCATACGTAACACGTGGCTCAACCATCCCAGTCGAAGATTTGCAACCTCATCAATTGATTTACCATCATTCCCTAATACCCTGCGTCTAGCCTCACTAGTACTTACCCGGTGATCACAGAAGATGCAAGTAATATTTCTAAGACATCTGTGACCAAATATTAGTAGCTTACGAGTATCTTCTACCCTTAGTGGCCATGTTTCGTAGCCGTAAAGTAGGACAGAATGAACTGCCGCACAGTAAACTTGCCCCTTAAATGATAGACGGATATCTCGCCTTCGCCACAGGTGATAAGTCGGTAAAAGCAAAACGAGCCTTCTGAACCCGCGCACAGATTTCGTCAGGCATCAAGTGAATAACCACACTAGGATCCCTGTATGTTTCAGAGACACAGCATACATCGATGGCACAAAATTCTAGGGCTTTAGCCGAGGAGGCTTGCCAGATGATTTAACATAGGGTGCGTTGGGGGCTGCAATGTGTAATTTGGAGCAAGGTTTCAGTACACCTGGGAGTGTTTCGCGCACTAGAATCGTTGATCAGGGTGACACTTGAGGAGGAAGTCGAAAAAGCACGTTTAGAGTTTGAAGTCGAGGTAGGAGGAATAATAGCAATCGAAGGAGATTGGTTATGAATACAGTGATCATGAGTGCTGTTAGAGGATGAGGATGGCTATCACTTCCCGGTTTCCCATACCGTGGAAGGATTCTTCTAGAGAAACGTGAAAAGGAAATTGGATTACAGGTGGTCTCAGTGATCTGAGAGCGTGACCACAGTGCCCAAAGGACAAATTCTTGAAATCGGTCACACACGACCATTTTATGAGTAATTTTTGTGTTAGCTCCGCACTTATTGAAACCTTACCGCCAGAGACGATATCCGTGGAATAAGGCGAGGTGTATTTTTAGGGTCAACCATTTCTAACCCCACCCTTCCTTGTAGGAAGGCAGCATCGCTGCCATGCTGGCTGTCTGAAGGAAACATCTTACTGCTGTCACACCTCTGTACAGTCAGCAGTACGACTTCGCCCTCGGACTCAGAGTTTGCTGCTTTTAGTCTTACCGCTCTTCAACCGACATGTCTGGTATGGTTTTAAACTTGAAGAACGGTTGTTCCAGCCAGTATAGTTCGACTGGTTCATTACGATAGGCAAGCCCGACCACCACGTCAACATAGTAGCAACCGTCGGGACGAAGGCAATTATGAGAACATGTAATTAGTCAGTGTGATAATTTACTACTTCTAGATGAGGTCATGGTGACTGTAACTCAATAGCCAAGATTTTATCATGAATGGCTCCAAAATTATTTAATGGCGATACTTCTGCAGTTTTCAACTATTTTTCACGAGCACTAAAGCGTACGTTCTGAGATGAATGGAATTTATCTTCACCGTATTTTTCATATAAGTTTATACTCTTCAGAACTTTTACCTTAGTTAGTCTGTATGATTTCTCTATTTTTCTTCCTACTGCTAATTGTGACCGGAGTTTTTAGTTATAATATCTAGTATCTCCAATCAACTGTGGTACATTGTAGACTTAAGTCAGAAAAATAGCAATAAAAGAACTAAATGGAGAGGTAAATAGCAACACGAATTGGTGCTACGTGTTAATTTACGAGTGCTAAAGTTTCTTCAGTGTTCTTACCCTAGTCAACGTAGACTTTTATAGCAATTAGTGGTCACAGATGAGTACTATATCTTGCCACTATTTGACTTACATAACGTATAACGTCAGGAAGAGCTTTATAATACAGATTGTGGCCGGACCATGACGAAGACATGCAAAGCGTGAAGTTTTGAAAAATATTGAAATATAGGACCAAAAAGTGCGGGAAAAGCATTATCGATTATTACTTATTTTGGAGTTATATATATATATATATATATATATATACAACCGATACATCAAAATTTTCATTTTTCATAGAGAGTTGTTCATTGAACCACTGACGGAATTCATTGGACGAAGATGGGCACTTCGAGTCATTCACTAGGTATTGAGTATTAAGTACAATAAACCTTGTTCGGTTAAATATGAAGGTAAAGTAATCATCTCCCCACATGCTTTTATAATCCTGTACGTTATTTGCATCAGGGCGGTTCCCAACATCATGATTTCCTGGAAGCACAATAAGAGGAATATCACTGTTCAGATGAGACAGTATGTCTAGCAAATCAGATGTTTGTTTACATCTATCAGAACCACCTGGATAATCATTAACAAGATCCCCACAAATGATAACAAAAGCTGGCTTCGGACAAAGACGATTTATAATATTTACTGCCCTACTTACAAGTTTTACTTCCCTATCCCAGTGGTGGGGTCGAGGACGTTTTTCCACATGCTGTTCAAGTAAACCAAGCTGTGGATCAGCAATAACTACAAAACGAAATGGAGTTGAGACATATGTAGACGTAGCAAGTGACAGGTGCCGATTTTTGGCTGTGCACAAGGCAGAACAATGAACATCGACAGATTCCATATTTGGAAATCAACTAAACAAAAGAAAAAGCAGAAGATACCAAAGCAGCATGTAAAATAACTTGGATAGATATATAGTGTTTTAGTGAAACTTTTCCTTTAAACTGAGGGCCAGTTCAAAGACAGGAGAAAATGTTCGATCTACCTTTAGAGCCTTAAAACACGGTAATAGGCATTCCTCAAGATGGTGAGAGGATTTCACGTGACTCAAATGTTACTGCCAATAACTAAAAGATGATAACGTGTTAAATTCTACATATGATAGAGAAACTACGAGGTCTAAAGCAGATCCCAAACTAATACTAATATTCGCTGCATGTCATTACATCTAACATCTAATTATATTCGGACTTTATTATTTAGAGAGGAAACTAAGATAAAATTAATGATATGAGCTACTTTATTATATATGATGAAATAATGCCCACTATTTTACAAATATTAAAAATTGCAGAAAACGTTTAGCTTTCAGTCGTAGGGAAACACTGTCAGGTACTTAGAACAGTGTTTCAAAAGATTTAATGTCACTGTAAGCTATGTGAGGGTACTTTTCTGTTTTGATTGCCAAATTGTTCACAGCTTTCGGCTGACTATTACTAATTCTTATCGCTTATTTTCACTAATAAATATAAAAATAATCTCTGTTTAAAGATGTTTACATGTTCAATCACATTCTTTCCAGATTTCAATTTCCATCAAACCTACTACATTTGTCAGCAATATACATAACTTCATTCGATCGCAGGGCTTCGAACGAAAACCGGACAGAAACAAATAGACAGATAAATGTTACACTATGATGTTCACAGTACGTATGTATGAGCAAAAATATACTACGTTCCCAACACAACTGAGTTTGAGAATGCGAGTTCGAAACCTTGGGCCGAAAAAACGGCTAAAGAGATAATACTGAAGGATATAACTCAAATACATACAAAAAGCACTGAACTGTTAATGGGACTAATTCATCATTATGGAGCAGAAATTCTATCATATGAATCCATGTATGAGAGATGTATTTCGTCTGATACAAACCATGTTACTATTATGAGCCTATTGAGATTGGTCAACTCAGGCGAATCAGGGACTTGTGATGTACAAATGTCGAGATTTGGATTTAATGACAAATTCACCTAACGACAAAACAAAATTCACTACCGAATTATTCAGATCCCAGGTGGAAATTACTAAGTCATATATGAAACGAGAATGGTGATTTCGGATGGATCCAATACCAATTTTAATGATGATGTTATGCTGAGTAGTATACGAGATCGGGCAACTTGAAAAGTTATGATGTGGTACTAGGAGCATCCAATGACAACAAGAGATAAAAGTGAGATAGTTATGAGTCGTAACAAATTGGTTTCTAGAACAAAACCATACGCTGGCCACACGTGTGAAAGCAATTAAGTAACACACCTAAGGAACAGTGCGCTTATCTCTAGCTCTTTGCCAATTGAACATAGCAAAGAATAAACAACGATCATTTTGATAATGTTTACTTCTTCTGTTAGAAAGCAAACTAAAATTATGAGTTTACACTATAACAGCTTTGAGTATCTTTTTTGTCTTCGAACGCTACAAGTGTATAACAAAAATTCGAGAAGCTCAAAGAAAATATGAAATGCAGTTGGCCCGATCTGCACTCAAGCATCCCAAGAGAATATTCTCGTATATGATCTACAGAACGAGGATGCATCAGCGGATTCCCAATCTAATTAAAGAAGGGAGGGGATCCGTAACGGCCATCCATTAAGCTAGATACTACCATGTTCACCAAAGTATCCTTAGTGAGAACTAAGCTTGAGAACTGCGTTTATGCTGCAAGCCCCTGTGACTCGGATATCCTAGAAAAATTACAGAGGACACCTACCGGTGCAATTCCAGGACTCCAGAGTTTACCATACAAAGAGCGGCTTGAAAAGCTAAATCTCTTTACTCTATCCTATCGCAGATTAAGGGGAGATCTAATTTTGATGTACAGAATACTGAGAAGGGATTTTGGACCTAACTTATTCTCTCTTTTTCTTCCCACTAGATTGGGACATTTCAGAGGACATAGCAGGCGAGTAGAAAAGCCAAGAACGAACAAAATACCCGTGACATACATGTTTTCACACAGAGTCATCAATACTTGGAACTTGCTGCCCGAAGCAATGGTGTCCGCACCTTTGATTGACCCTTTCAAGAGAAGACTGGGCACTCACAGAAGCATACTAGAAAAGGAATAACATAGGCCGTAGGCTTTCTGTCCTTACTATACAAATCTGAATCTGAACCATAGATGTACATTCAGACGTCGCTTCTAATGATTCAAATGATTCTAAATGGTCCAAATGGTTGTAGACAGAATAGAAGAAGTTTTCGCTCAACGGGCTTCCGTGTCTAGTAATAGTGGATCACCGATATTTCCAGGTAGGAACCTAGGTATATTAACGATAATAGAGGGAAAAGAAAAAATGTTAGTAAATCTTAGTAAGATACTGTCCTTGATCCTTAAGCATAAGTCAAGTTTCCTCTTAAAGGACTACTGGGAAGTCACTTGGACTGGCTCAGCCGGCAGGGGATTCCAGCATTTGAAAACTCTTAAGGAGTAGAAGTTGCGTCTACAGTTCGTTCTGCTATGTTGTCTTTTCAGTTTCTGGGTATCACCCCTTAGGTTTGTGTTGGAGCTAAACCTAAGAAGGTGTTTAACGGGATGTCCAGAAGTGTTAAGGATACTGTAAGCCGTTAGCAGGTCACCTCTAAGACACCTATACTCTAATGAGTAAAGGTTTAGTGATTGGAGGCTCTCTTCACGAGACTTGAATCTGAGATCTACTAAGATATTCTACAGCCTGAGTGAAAGTGAAGTAAACCCTGACGTTAAAATCTCGATTCTTTAGATATGAAGTGAGCCAATCAATTAAAGGTGATTTGTTATCTAATCTTTTGAACTTATTGATAAGGCATATATGGTTGACCCTATCAAAAGCTTTTGAGAAGTCAAGGTAAATGATGTCAACCTTCTCCTTGAGATCAAGGATGGTTGTCCATCTGTCCACCGCAATCAACAGGTTGGTTATCCCTTCCTGAAGCTATGCTGTTGGAGTGAACAGAATTTTATGGACAATAAATAGTCGTGTATACCTTTGCATATCAGGGACTCCATAATTTTTGAAGGTATAGAGAGAGCCACCGATGTGTGAGAACACCATGCTAAGCGGTGTTGCCAGGATTAAAGCTGCTTCCCTCAGTATAGCAGCATGAACCACATCCGAATCAGGTGTCTTTTCCTAGGTGCTGCGGTTTCCAGAACACCAAATCAGAGCTCAGATTCACTTAGAAAAGTCCTGTGTAGTTGCAGATGAAGCTTTCATTGATATAGTTAATGCGGGTCGGTTGAAATGTCCGAGAGTACTGTTCAGCCAGAAAGTTAGCCTCGACACAGTCGTTATTGGTCGGGCTATTAGGACCTAGTTGTTGGGAAACTCGGCTTTTGGCTTGTCGAAGGGAGGCTGCATAATGGAATAAGCTTTACGGGTTGGAGAAAATTTATTGACAGGCTTTATTTGATACTGGAGCCCGTCTTCTCTTTTTGCCTTTGTCCATATGTTCCTTATATGTTGGAATTGCCCGCATGCGCTGTTGTGACCAGCTCGCTTGTGTTTCGCCCAGCAGTTCATTTTGTGACTTAGCAAACGAAGAGTGTGGTTCTTGATAACTGTAGGTTGCCTGTAGAACAGACTACTTTGCAGCAGACAAGATCGTGTGCAGTAAGAAATCCCCATGAGCGTACACATCAAGTTGAGTGTGAACACCCCAATTCACCTGTTGTGGATAATCCTGTAAGGCTGACACATTCAACCGCTTGAAATTCCAGCCCCTGTTGTTGGTGGGATATATTAGTTTTGCTAATAAAACTGAAGGTTATGAAGGCGTGATCGTATTTCCATAGGGGATCCAGGATTGTGAGTTTGTTAACTAGGGATTCTTCGTTTGTAAATACCCAGTATGAGCGCGACGGTGTCTTACTGTTTCTCCAACGAGTTGTCGGCTTCATATTTTCGTATAATCCCAGATCCTCAATGACTCTGATGAACCGAACTTCAGTAGAGTTTTCGAGTCTAATATACGTGTGTTCCGAGAAATCGACTTTAGGAAGATTGAAGTCTCATAGAGTCACGATATAAGTGAATCCGAAACGAGTGGAGCTGGATAATCCTTCCAGTATACGATTGTCGTACTTGATGTCAGCAGTGGGCTTCCTGCAGATTACTCCAACTAAACTTTTCCAGATGGTAGACAATCTTACTGAGCATCATATCGACCCATCAAGATTGATGAGGTCTTGATTGTGCACTTGATGTATCGCCAGGCATGATCCTAATTATAAGGCTACTCCATCCCTAATTTCTGTTTTTCTTTCGTTGCGAAACAGAGACATCCCAGGTATTGCTAGCTCCTGGTTCGTAAATTGAGAAGATATGCATGTTTCAGATATTCCTATCAGATGAGTATTGTTAGCAATACTGAGTTCACTCAGCTCGTTCATTTTGTTACATAACCTCACTCCCTTATATAATCAGTTTGTGCTTTTAATTTGAAACTCGTGAGCTTCCCCGTCCTGTTTATTTGTATGAGCCTTATATGAATGGACAAGTAGCTTACCTACAAAGGGGTTTCCGAGTTGATAGTTTCTGCCCTCTCTACGTTTTCCTTATGATCCTGATAGTTTACGAGTGGAATAGTCAGTTCCAACTTGCCTTTGTGCTTGATCCTGGTATTATGTGGCCTATCCAGATAAACATGGATCCCAGTGGGCAACCGGCGTCTTTTGGCACGAAATGCTTCGAGCGTCACAGCCGCTCGATGGGAGGATAGGAAGGTTATCTTCATCAAATGGGGCCTTCAGTCACGACCTTCTTGGCTAGTCCCACCACTTGTTGAGTCACTATGTTTTGGAGCTTCAAGAACTGCTTGATGAATTTCCATTACCGAATATCAGAATTTATGTGAACAGGGTTTGTGTTTTCTGGCACACCTCATATAATGATATTTCTCCAGCATGAACTCTTCTTGACTATAGTGATGTGCACTTTTTAAGAGATTCATCAAAATACAGTACACTCAAAACGAATAAAAAGGAATAAAAACAGATGGTACAAAATATTAGGATGCATCAAAACTAGCCTTGACACGAAAAATTGTAAAACCGAACAGTAAGCTCGTGCAAAATCACAGTCAACTATTAACTTGGGTGTAACTCAAAAAGAAAAGTAATCTAACTTACTTTAAGCTCAGGACAGGTTCTTTTGATCAAAAACGGTACTTTTGTTGACTAAGGACACACCGAAATTTCGAGAAATGCAAATCAGTGTACTCATTAAAAATAGAAAGCTCTACTTACTAAAGTGATCTGTTTCATTACATGCTTCAAGCACTGTACTTAAGTATACTATAATTATATCGACTAAACAGAATTATACGACGTCTTGGTTGTACAACCAATAATACTAAACTAAGCAAGCGTCATAATTATTGTTTCATTTGCACAGAAATGTTACTCAAAGTAGTTATATGTACATAATTAAGCTGATAAACCCAAAACACAAACTGTAGGCCAGTCAAACTTACCTAACAGAAGACAAAGGATATTGTATTAAGACTGAAGACAACAGTCACTTGCTCATAAAAACAAACTTTACAGCACACACGAAAAGAATTGGTCTATATGTTGTAGTTTCATTGGCAATTATTTCTCATGCGAAATCACAGTGTAGTGTTTTTCCATCAATTAAATTATAGCTTTTGTTTTACTTATCCTACTACTACATTTAATTATGTTAAATTATCCATGGCACTCTCCCAGACCAACTGTCCGCAAATATGTAATAACCAAAGAAAAGGGCGAGTTGATTTCTTACTCAAAAGGCTAAGACGGTTGTTTTGAAAAATAGTGCTGAGAGGTTGTCAAATTCGGTTTCACAAAATGCTGATACACCAACATCAAACAAAACGATATGCATGAAACTCGTTAACTAAGATTAAAGGTAGCATTTTCAGTTTTTGAAAATTGTTGGCTATTATCATGAAAACACCAGATAAAGATCAGATAATACACGTGTTACATAATACTCAGAAACTCAGGAAGATTTAAGGACACCATCAAATCAAAACCAAACAATCAAGAAAAAATCGTAAATATGCATAAAATCGCGATTGTGTGTGAAAATTTCGAAATAAAAACCAAAAAGAAAGTAAGATTCCTGACCGTCACTAAAAAATTACGACATAACATTTGTTTGTCTGGCAAAAAACCGAAAAGATAGGAATCGACAATTTGTAGTCAATCTGATGACCGACCATGTAGCCCACTGCACTCAGTATCGTTGGTAGATTGTACAATAGACCCATAGTCCTCAA